AACCTGAATGACGGAGCGCTCTTATGGCGCGTTTCCACCGCCCGCTTGGAGAGCGGTACGGGTCGGGTCGGTACGGGTCGGGCCTGTTAACCATGATTTGCCGAGCGTTTCCACCGCCAACAGTACCCTTACTTGATAGGCGTGGTGTATTCCAGAAAGTAGTGATGACGTCACTTGATAGACGTGGTACATGACGGAAAGTAGATTGACGTCATTCGATCGCGTGTAAACTGAAAGCTAACCGCCAACAACAATGGAGGACGTACAACCGATCCTGTTCCTGCTTCTCCACATGTGGCTGTTTGTCACAAGGAGACGACACTCTTTGTTTGAGCAAAGGCTACATGCTGCAGGTGTGTTACGTGTGTTGTCTTCCCCCTTGCGGCACGCGCAAATGACGACACTCTTTTAACCAATCAACGCTCTGCAGTGAGTCTAGCTCCGCCCTTTAGTACCAAACCACTGTGCCAGGTGCCCCAACGGAAGGGAACCCAAAGAGTGATACGGTACGGTTCGGATTTCTGGTACCATTCTCAACTTTTGGCAGTGGAGACACAAATAAAAGGGTACCGACCCGACCCGTAGCGTACCGCTCGGTGGAAACGCGCCACTAGAGACCCCTGCAGGGGCTCAACGTAAATACATCTAATTAACGTCCACAGAATCAAAGACTTGTCAACGTGAGGTTTGAACGCCACCTTTTGACCTCCAGCTTGCCCTTGCTGCGCAGGAAGCGCACGCTGTAGACGCGCTGCATGGCGGCCGGCAGGTAGGACAGCAGGTCCCGGTTGGTGGCGAGTCTCGGCAGGCCGAGGGCGGGCAGCGCCGTCAGGCCGCGGCACAGCGGGCACTGGATGGCGTCCGGCTCGGCCGACTTGACGTTGATGCGCGCCAGGCACTCCAGGCAGAAGGTGTGGCGGCACTGCAGCATCTTGGGACAGCGGAACACGTTGTTGAACTGGCTGAAGCAGACGGAGCACTCCAGGTCCGGGGAGGCGTCCTCGCCGCACCGGGTCGACGGGGGTGACGGGCGGAGGTCCGGGGACGGGACGATGACCGAGACCTGGCAGGAGAAGGGGGTGGCGGGGGGAGGGGGCGGCGGGGGAGACGGGACGGGAACGAGGCTGGACCGGGACGCGAGGACAAAGCCCGAGTAAGGAGGCGGCGCCAGCTGGTGACCAGCGTCCGAGGCCTGGTGGAACGCCACGGAGCTGTGACCCGTCTGGATGAGCGCGGGGGAGGTGGCCGACAGAGGGGCATTGTGGGTAATGTCGTATGGGTTAGAGGGCAAAGTCGGAGGTGGTCTCGTGTTTGCGTAAGGATTCATGACGTGATGGAAGAGATGAACACGTGAAGGATGATGAAGATGCTCCTGGCGCCTCGTCTTCAAATTAAAAAGAAAACATGGATTAACTTCTGATTCTCTGTAGTGACCAGCAGGGGGCGACTCCTGCTAGAAGAAGAAGATTACGACTGCTCTCTGGATTCATTCCCTCAGTAAACACCAATAAACTCAAACTCACACAATCTCTATTTCAACGCAGCATGATGTTTATTTGGGAATTTATGGTCCATTTAGAGTCAAACAGACCATAAATGAGGGGATGCTTTAGGGCGGGGCTACACGCTGATTGACAAGTCTTTAACACTTGGTTGCTCCTTAGGTCCTGCTCCTCACGGAGAGCTCCTGCCTGCCGTAGAGGTGCATTCATACTCTGATCCGGCTGAACTCTGAGGTCCTGCAGTGGCTCCAGTCTAACACACACTTTGCATTGTCTGCTTCACTTCAGCAGGGAAATGAGATGCAAAACCAGAGAGGTGATGCAGAGGAGCACCCAGCAGGGGTCACCTGAGGCCAGCAGACCCCCTCAGACCACCATCACAAGGCCGCCACAGCAGATTCATGGTCCCCAAAATATACATCACACAGGCGACATGTGAATGTAGACGAATAACTGGTTCAGAAAATGTCCTTAGTTACTCGTGTAGTCAATATGAAGATAGATTATATGTGGGTGCATCCTCACCTGATCACTTATAGATTAAAGCACATGGAGCTTCTCACAGATTTATGAACAAACAATAACTCGACTCCAAAGTAGAAGAACTCATTTGATCAAAGCCTCCTTTTAATTTTGCTGCTTTGAAATCGGCTGACATGAAGGACTCCTTCCTGTCACTCAAAGAGGAAGTCACATAAAGAGCTGCATGAGGAACACAGAGGTCCTTTGTGTCGCCCTCATGTAAATTACATCCAGCTGAACGTCCTGCTGCTTATTATAGGACAACGGGTCACCATAAGAGGGGATTCAGTGACTTATATCGACCCTTAAATCAGGAATAAAATAAATATAATTTGTTATTCCAGAAGAAAAAAGGTTTCCAAAAGATTTAAATGTGCAACATTCCAAAATAAAATTGGGGGAAACTGTCTCACAAGGGGACCAAACTCCAGCCATCAATCACAAATATAAAATAAAGATATCAAAAGAGTGAGGAACACAAACCACCTGCATCTCTGGTTGTAAACGCTCAGGTGTGAAACAGGAAAGTGAAGCAACAGGAAGCAAAGTGCTGCACGTTTTACTTTGTCAACTTAAACGTTTCTTTACTGCGGATCATTTGTGCAGAATTCGACTTCAGCTCCTTTTAACTTGTGCAACATGAAAGAATGAGGTCACGACACGTGCGTGGAGCACAGAGGTTGCGATGAGCCGCTCCTACCGTCCGCGATCACCGCCCGCGCCGCAGCATCACCTGGCCGGGCTCCGCTCTCACACCCCCGCAGCTCAGGTGCCGCTGCCCGAGGTGCGCGCTCGTGTCTCGGCCTCGAAGTCTCTCTCGTCCTCGGCGCGTGTCCGAGTTGGACGCGTTTGAGAAGTCGAGTGAAGAAACGAGGAAACGGATTATTCAAATCACCTGTCGGCCTGTGACGCGCGAGGACCAACGCACCTGGGCAGAGTGCGGCGGGCTGTGACGTCACGAGTACAAACACCTGGGCAGAGTGCTGCGGCCTGTGACGTCACGGGTACAAACACCTGGGCAGAGTGCTGCGGGCACTACTCGGACGGTAGTCAACTCTAGTACTTACATTTAAACGTGAACTCACGCTCCTGAATAAATTAGGACATTTGATGAATCAAGTTTATCGTCCCTCTGAACGTCTCGTCTCTGAGTTCGTGACACTTTATAAAACTAGATAAAAGCATTTCTATTGAAATCCACTTATTAGATGCTTGATTATATACATTTAAAAAAAAACACATGAAGTCTTTGGTTTTCCTTTTGAGTGAACGAGAACAAATTCACATGACGGACAGGAGACATTTGGAGACAAATCCAGGCAGAAGGTTTTGATCATTTGAAAAACAAATGCAAACGTGAACGTTCACGTCCACGTTTTGCTCCTGAAGGTATTTCAAATAATAATAAGTGGAGAAAAGTGACTCAGTTCTGTTTTTTTTCATCCTTCACTTCACGTTCCTCACGTTCCTCAGGTTCCTCGGGTTCCTCACGTTCCTCGGGTTCCTCAGGTTCCTCACGTTCCACGGGTTCCTCGGGTTCCTCGGGTTCCTCAGCTACAGCTCTGTGCATGTACCAGATAACGGTCGAGCTACCGTATGGTGACCCGTCTATGGACGGGTTGAATAACCTTTGATGTGTTTACATTGGACTCATCCGCTGTGTCCTTTGTTGAGAGAACCTTGGAATTTGTCCTCCTGTCGCTCTGAAGAAATGCATCCTGGAGTTTGTCGTTAATTCTGAACTGTTCCTACGTTTCTCACAAGAGTTTCAGGACCCAAATCGCAGCCTTGGAGGCGTCTTCCTCGTTGCTCATCTACTTCTCTGTTGCTGGAAGGTGGACTCGAGGGATTCTGTAGTTTTGTCTTCACAGCGACGAGGTCTAACTAACGTCTAACGCGTGAACCAACCTCTCCTCTCATCCAGACCTGAAGGCCACAACTACCTTCATAGTGAAGGCCTCAACACACCCGAATCAGTTGTGACCTTTGACAGCCAAACCCTCAGGGCTGATAAGGTTGATTTCATTCGACACCCTCTCAAGAGGAGTGGATTTACTACCTTCAGTGGACCGAACAGTCCTCCCCTCTCGCTCACAAGAGGAGAAGGAAACGTTAAACATTAACTGTGTGCGCCGATACACTGTAGGTGTGTTCAGTTACCCGCACACACCGATCTGCACCGGGAGCAAAGCGTGGCCGTGAGTCCGTCTTCGGTCTGGGGTTCGCAGCAGAGAAGCAGTCGGTGAGTAGAAACAAACTCAAGCTACAGATGTGTGACGTTGTAGAGGAGATGAGTAGAAGCAGAGTTTTATTAATCATCAGATTGTGAAATCCCTGATTTATTGATGATCTATTCTGGTCATTACTTTAGTATTGATATTTAGTATCTGATACCTGCAGGAGACGGTGTAGTTCTACGCTCAACGACAGATGTTCGCAGCACCTTTAATGCAATAGAAATGTTCTGTTCTGAAGGCATTTTATATTGACAGTTAAACATTAACTGGCTGGTGTCTGGTGTGTGCAGGTCAAAGGTCGACTCGCTCAGCGTGGACTTTGGCGCTGTCGCAGGCGAAAAAACATCAAAACAGATCTCACCTGGTAAGTACGACATCTAATCAAATGGATAAAGTCCACACGGTCAGATCGATGAGTGAACTGTTCTTTATTGATCCTCAGGCGTTTGCTGAATGATCAGGTTATCAGATTCACTCCTTGTTACCAAGGTAACAACCTGAACTGAGCCCAAAAGAAGTCCTTCGTTCTCCAAATGAACTTTTGAATCCACAATGGGAAACAAACCACCAACAGCAGCCTCGTCAGGTGAGTGATGACACGTTCACAGCAGCTGCACCATAAAACTACACCAGCAGGTTCTACAACCGTCGGCCAAACTCTGACCTCTCATACGTCACACCTCACCGAAGCTTTCGCTGCGTTCATAGTTGATGGTTTGAATACATGTTTTTAGTTTGTATCCGGTGCTGAGAAGAAGTTAATAGATGATTTGTCTGCTTTTACCATGTGGTCATCCAAAAGGGTGATGGGTATGTACCACCTCTTTAGCCTCTTTAGCCTCTTTAGCTCGTCAGAGTGAAGGTCACATTTCATAAAGCAAAAGCGCTGCTGAGTAAATGAAAATATAACTTGTCTGGTCTTGTTACTAATTCTAACTTTCACTACTAATTCAACTCATTTCCTTGATTATGTGGGAATGACTGAATACCTCCATTTTCTACATCTCTACAGGAAGTGGCGGCGGCGGTGGCGGGCGGGCGCGGCATCCCGTGCCTGTTGAAGCTGCGGTCAGGGGACCAGCCAGAGTGGCAGCCGAATCGGTGGCGGCCGGAGCATTGGCAGGAGCGGCGTTCGGGGCAGGCGAAGCGGGGGCGGCCGGAGCATTGGCATTTGCGGCGATCGGGGCGGCGGGCGGAGCATTGGGAGCGGCAGTGGGAGCGGCGGTGGCATTTGCCGTGCCGGCGGTGGTGACTGGAGTGATGTTGGCAGCTGGCAGACGCACCGTGTGTGACGGCAAGAGTATCAGTAAAGGTAAATATACCAAACCAAGTCAGAAATATTGTCCTAATTTCTATTATTGGAGCATTTGTTGGCCTAAAAAAAGTTTAGGTTTCATTTAACAATTAAAGCTGCAGCAGCGTCGGTCGCGCCCTGAAAACGCGTAAATATGAGCGCTTGTACAAGCCGTCATTGGCGGACTATGAGGACGCCGGACGGCCTCTGATTCATGGAGGGAGATCTCCACAAACGAGGGAACAAAGTCGTGGAGGAAAATACGGGACAAATGTGTCCGTGATGGAAAGCAGCAGTGTGGATGCACGGGGCAATAAAGTCTATGATCAATAAATAAAGCCACCAGCGACTTCCACACACAAAGACGTGACTCTGCAGGTCGTCTTCAACAGAACACGTGACTCACGTCACTTTAAGTGGTACTTCAGGCTGGTAGTACTTCAGGCTGGTAGTACTTCCGGCTGGTAGTACTTTAGGCTGGTAGTACTTCAGGCTCGTAGTACTTCAGGCTGGTAGTACTTCAGGCTTGTAGTACTTCAGGCTGGTAGTACTTCAGGCTCGTAGTACTCTGGTGATGAGATACTAGTTCGCAGTGGTGACAAATAGCTTTGCTTTCAGCGAATATGTCGTCTGGTAGAGATTTAAGATGAAAATGTTCATTCACTACCTTTTTTTTTTTGTAAAACATCGTTATCATTGTCAGACTTTTATTTTCCTTGATTTAGTTAATTTGATTGGATCAGATGTTCTTGTGATTGAAACTGAGGGTTGTCTTTTTATCAGCGCATGCCAGTTTATTTTATTTTGTGTAATCAGCACAGCCGACCTGCTGTTGGTCTCTTCATAGAGTCTTTAGCTCGTCTGCGTTATCTCAGTTCTTCTTGCCCTGGTGGTCTCAGTCAGGGGTTAGGGTTAGGGTTAACCTCCGGGGGGCTGACCTGAGTGCTGTGCTTCAGAGGAAAGGCCCGGTCCCAGTGTTTTTTGAACGGGTTTGTAAATTCCAACATCCAGTACCGACGAGCTCGTTCCTCTTAATTGAAAAGCAGAATTGAGGATCTGTGACTGCGTCAAAATGGCCGTAGTTCCTGAAGGTGTGACGCGATGGTTTTATCATATCACTTCAGCCACATATTGACGGCTTCATCTGAGATTAATGAGACCCTCAGAAAACATCAATAGAACTGAGTGATGAAAAGGACTTGAAGATAACGTGTGAATAAATCAATGCTCCTTCAGAAGCTGCTGATCTTCGGCCTGTGAAGCGGAGCAGCAGTTATGAAATGCTGCCACCAAACCGTGAGTGTAACTTATGTTTGCCGTGATGTGAGTACAGTGTTCGCTTGGATCCACCTTCACACAGCGTCGTCTTCTTCTCAGTGTCCGGGCTGAGGGTCGTTCTGCTGGGGAGCAGCTGGTCTGAGAGGAGCTCGGTGGGGAACTTCATCCTGGCCGAGTGTCTTCACTTCAATCAGTTCAAGTCTGAGGAAGAACCGGACTGTTTAAAACAAAGAGGATGGCTGAAGGAGAAAGAAGTGGTTCTGATCAACACTCCAGATCTGCTGCTTTCCTGGACATCCAATCACAGCCTGTGTGAAGCATGCAGGCGCCTCTCTGATCCTGGACCTCATGTGTTCCTGCTGGTGTACAGCCTGAAGACTTCACGGAGAAACACAAAGAGAAGCTCTGCAGTTTCCTTAAGCTCTACAGTGACCGATCATTTGATCATTCACTGGTTCTGTTATCAACACCCAGAGAGCAGAGCTCAGCGTTCATGAGAAGATGTTTGCAACATCCGCCCTTAAAAGAGATGATCGAGAAATGTAAATCCAGGTTTCTGTGGAGGGAAAAGCTTGAACCGGCAGAGCTGTTAACACGACTGGAAGAAGTTGTGGAAGAGAACAACGGAGAGCATGTTTGAGCATAAACACGCACCAGGGAAATCGGTATCTACAGCTGGTGTAGATGTTTGGTTAAGATCTACACCAAGATGCCTTTTCTTCAAACTGTGATGTGTGTTGGTTTTTTGCGAGTGAGTGTGAACCTTGTTGTCTGTCCACTAACATCTCCTCAGGCTGAATCTTGCTCACCAAGATGGCGCCGTTGATGGCCGCCACGGTGCTTCGGTGCACTTTGTTTTTGTTGCTTTTGTTGTTAATTACGTTTGCTGAGCATTTAATTCCACTTTATTTTATTACTTGTGCACTGTTGTCTTGTCTGTCTACTGTCGCCCACTAACCGCCAAGACAAATTCCTTGTATGTTTGGCATATTTTGGCAAATAAATGTTTCCTGATTCCTGATTCCTGAAGGACCTCTCACGCTTTGTCAGAACACCTTTTATTACCTGCTCTATGGACTCTCTGCTGACTCCTCACCCACAAGTCTTACCTGGGGGGACGAGTGATAGAGACACAGCATCTCACGGATCGGAGACCAGAGACTTGGGTGTCTCCTCGCTAACAGTAAAACTGCCAGATGTGTCCAGATGTAAGATGAATTCATTCCATCAGGAATGAATAATAAAAACATTCACAAACCCGTAAAGAAGGAATGGAATAAAGGGCTTTGTGGAACAACCGACTTCGCCACGCACGCACACCTTGAGTACGGTGTCCCGCAGCGTGCACACGGAACGCGAACATAAGCATTGAACAGATGATGGACAGTTCTGGTTAGACATGTTTAGTTTACTTCATCAATGCAGGTAAAACACTGTACAACTAACACACAACTATGTAATCAGTCGCAGACAATATGGATGTGGATTAAAAAGGAACTTGTTAAATGACTCCATTGTTTTCCGACTATTGAACAAATAGTTTTTAAAGCCTTCGCAGTACGGACGAGAGACCCTCATAGTAATTGTCTACTGGGGCTGTCAAAATTACTCACAAATGACGAATATTCGCTTAAAAAAACACTCATATTCAAATATCTGGTTGCGGGTCAATAACAGGACAAGTAATACAACCAGACATAACTACTTTTATAGGTCATTTATTTCATTTTAAACATATTTTAAAAGATATTACCTGCACAAAATGACCTAAATAAATAAATGAACTGATGGCGGCAGATCTCTCGCTCGCACACGCGCTCAGTTTCAATGAACGACAACAGTAAACAAATGCTGAAGGCTCATCATTTTTTCTTCATCAATATTTGAGAATAAAATGATGAGAATTTTGCACAACATGCTCACAAGCCCCGCCCTCCCTCCTCCTCTTCCTCCTCCCCTTTCTCCTCCTCCTCTCCCACCTCCTCCTCCTCTTAGCGCTCTGCAGTGCTGAGCGCCAAACTACGGTGGCCCTGAGGCGCAAAGCACAGCGGCAAATAGGAAAACACCACGAAATGAACTCCTTACGGAAAGGGGAGGGGCTTATAGCAGAGGACGGACCCTTCTGATTGGACAGACGGACTGTCTGTTAACAGCCACACATCCAACTCCTCACGCCAAGGAGTCGGACTCGGGCCCCCGAGCCGCGTCGGCCGTGGCGTCCGGACCGTCTGACCTTCCCACCAGATGTTGTGACGTCATTTGATGGGAAGTCCAACATTCTGGGGGCCGGAGGGTATGAAAGGCTTCAGCTCTCCACAAAGTCTCCACGAAACATCATAGAAAACAAGTCATAAAACTCTGACTTAAAGTTCCACGCAGCCTGCAGAGCTTTTACTCGTACTTATTACTTCTTATATTATCAATGACGAATACACGTGTTGTTTAAAGTCTTTTCACATTGGATGGTCAGCATATTTCTGAGAGTGGAACAAAGTCTGGTTTGTTAAATGAAATTGTAAATACTATATGTTTTTGATCTTTTCTGGCTAAAATATGTCAGTTGTGTTTTTGTAACAATATACATATACATAATACACATATACCTTAAATCTTCTTCCTCTTCATTATGATGAAGTCAGTTTACGGTGTTTATTGTGCAAAGGAAAATAAATTGTTTTGGTATCTTAGGTGTTTACATTCAAACTGAGGGAAATAATGATACAAATGTAAAAATACAAATATTCTTTTTGGTTAGCTTTGTCTCCTCAGAGCAAGAAGGTTCTGGGCTCCAACCCCCCCAGCAGCTTTCTGCATCAACTCACTTTTCATCCTGAACGGACTTTGTATTGTTTTTTATATCAATGAATATTGAATTAAAGCAAAGTTTTGAATTTTCTCGCGTCTCTCCTAACACAATATTTGCGATCCCGAAAAAATTCCACCTTTTTGTTCTTGGTACTAAAAGACCTGAGAGATACGGTAAGTCTTTATCTTGTCAGGACCGATTGTTCCAGCAGAGGGACTTTATTCATCAAAGGAAGTAAGTTAACTTTAGTAAGAAAAATCACATTTTCTTAACTTTCTTTTCATTGTTCAGCCATCAAAAAAGCTCTTTGGTGGATACATTTAATCTTTCCATAAGATGCATCAAGTCAACTCCACTTTGTGTATTTATGACAAATATGTCAAATTCCAAGACATTGATTCATTCATTGGTCTCAAGTGAGGCCTCAAAGCCTCCAGAGAAGTTCAAACACCTTCCGTCTGCTTCCCTCCTCACGTCTTCATGAGAAAACATGAAACCGCTTCATTGTGAATATCAATGCTGTTTAAATGTAGACGTATTAACTTCCTATGAAATTTCATGTGTGGTCAACCAATTAACGTTTAGATATTCAACAGTAACGAGCTACAATTAGGAATAAACCTTTTAACAATTATACAAATTCATTGTTGTAAAAAGTAGTGATTTGGTTCGTTCTGTTCAGAGTTGCTTAAAGAATGTAAACGCAGAACGGTTTGATACACAAGTGTAAAATGATTTAACTAAGTTTACTGTTGAAAAAGATTAAAAGAATGTTTATGTTGGGGTAAAATGATGGAACGATGCAAACTGAAGCGATGGAGCACAGCGGCTGCCGAGGGAAGTGGGTGAGTGTTCCTACCGTTACAACGGGGGGGGGGGCACCACCTCCCCTGAAAAAGTCTTGGATAGAATAGGTTCTTCCCGGGTGCACGTGGCGCTCGCAGAAGTACTACAGCGCCTTCGATGAGCCCGTCAGACCTGCAGCCTGATAGGAGGTTGAGACGGGGACCACATCTCATTGGACGAAGGGCCACAGACACGATGAGGTCACTGGTCCCCAGGAGGCGCTCAGTTAATGGAGTTTAGTCATTTAATGTAAATAAGAAAATCTGCTTCTACCACGTGCACAACACAAGTCGTTTTACAGTTAGAGGACGGCGTCCCCCTGGGATCAGGGACCAATAACCAAACTAGAGTTCTCCCAACAGTCAAACACACACCAAGACTGAACCGTAAAGGGTAGAAGTTAGAGCACGGACTCCATCATCCAGCGGTTATCGCTCTACACTACTTTGTGTGGAGTGATAACCGCTGGATGGAGTCAGTGCCAGAACTTCACGGTGGAACTCAGAGGGAATATTTACATCTTACACAGAAAACGCTGAACTGTTTTGCATTGAATTACTGAAATAAGTGAAGATGTTTAATTGGGGCACCTGTAGGAGACTAATAAATGTTGCATCATCACAGACAGCAAGTGTGAGGAGCTTCAAAAAGACTCCAAATTAATTCCGTTGCCTGTACTATGAGATTAGACACGTTTAGAAAAGCCATGAAAGTAGTGCTTTGGTTTATGCAAAGTTAGATTCTTTCTCAGCTCAGAACTTTAAGACTGGCATCGACCAGGTGGAGATAAAGCAGAACGCTAGATGAGGCTTTAAAAGTACAAAATGCACAAGCATGAAGAGGATCACATGCTTAGATCAATGAAATCTAGCGTGATAATGGAGTAAGTTAGGAACTCTGTACACATTCATCTACACATTTCTAAAGCGCAGCAGGAAGAGACTACATTAAAGATGTAGACAGCAAATGTTGGTATTTTATTGGTCGGTGAACATTCGTACAGAAACTCTGACAAAAAGGTTTGGAAAAGGACAAATGGGAGGTACATTTAACTGCATTCAATAGCTAGGAAAGCTGTGCAGTGGTGATGCATTCGGTCCTGACCATCAGTAGCTGATCACCAGACTGAGTGGAAGCTGCAGGTTTCTTCTGTGTGGAAAGATGCAACGTTTAGTCTGTTCAAGACAAATCAGAGACGGTGGACAGAACCCTCCACACCTCTTACACATGCCCACTTCCTGCTGCGCCTCCGGCCTGGAGCTTCTCTAGAAGCACTTGCGGTGGACGATGGAGGGGCCGGACTCGTCGTACTCCTGCTTGCTGATCCACATCTGCTGGAAGGTGGAGAGGGAGGCGAGGATGGAGCCGCCGATCCAGACGGAGTACTTCCTCTCTGGGGGAGCGATGATCTGCAGGAGACACAACGGGCAAGTTGTGAAGCGCAACAGGACTAATTAAAAGCTCACTGCCACTTAAGGAATGATCAGGCAGTTCCCCACATTGACAAAATATTTAGAGTGAAGCTTTATAAAGTCAATCACAGTATAGAGTTGACAAATACACCTTGATCAGAGTGAAGGTGTTAACCTTTGAGTTAAATTCAAGAAGGTTCATTTATTTGCAGTTTTAGAAAACGCAGCTATACCTTGATTTTCATGGTGGGCGGGGCCAGGGCGGTGATCTCCTTCTGCATCCGGTCGGCGATCCCGGGGTACATGGTGGTGCCACCGGACAGCACGGTGTTGGCGTACAGGTCCTTACGGATGTCCACGTCGCACTTCATGATGCTGTTGTAGGTCGTCTCGTGGATGCCAGCAGACTCCATTCCTGATCAAACAACCAGAGGTCACTTATGTTCTAAACACCAACTGCCCAAGTCGAGACAATGTTCACCATTCAAACCCAAGTGGGACATTTGTCTGGTGTTGACGAGACCCTGAAAAAACATTATGGCTCAATGAGGCCAATTAAGGCTAGATCATCCCCTGGTTCCCCAAGAGGTCAATAGATGAAGACCAGACTGTTCTCTATTGTGCATTTTAAATCTCATTGTGGTAAACCAACAGTACAGTTCTTGTTAGTCGTCACCCACCAAGGAACGAGGGCTGGAACAGCGCCTCGGGGCAGCGGAACCTCTCGTTGCCGATGGTGATGACCTGTCCGTCAGGGAGCTCATAGCTCTTCTCCAGGGAGGAAGAGGAGGAGGCAGTCTGCATCTCCTGCTCAAAGTCCAGAGCCACGTAGCACAGCTTCTCCTTGATGTCTCGCACGATCTCACGCTCGGCTGGAATTAGTACAAGAAGTCAAATCAGAAAGTAGAAAAACCACCAGACGTTCAGGAGCTTTATTCAGAGGAGTTTGTTTGAGCGAAGAGCCAAGCTTAGACGTGTACCCGTGGTGGTGAAGCTGTAGCCTCTCTCCGTGAGGATCTTCATCAGATAGTCGGTCAGATCTCTGCCAGCCAGATCCAGACGGAGGATGGCGTGAGGAAGAGCGTAACCCTCGTAGATGGGCACCGTGTGGCTGACACCGTCACCGGAGTCCATTACAATACCTGCAAGAAACCAAAGGTTCCAAAATGTAAATAGTTCCACCTACTGATCGACGAACCGTACAACCAACGTGTGACAAACACGTCCGTCTTTTAAGAAGGTCCTAAAATAAGACCCAACATTAGCGGTTCCAGTTTAGAGAAATGTTCAGTCATGAGTTTCACCTGTGGTACGACCGGAGGCGTACAGGGACAGGACGGCCTGGATGGCCACATACATGGCAGGACAGTTGAAGGTCTCGAACATGATCTGCAACGAAGACAAAGATGACATTAAGACCAGACACAACCTGCTGTGGCGCCGTCCCCACACTGGCCTCATCCGACTCCACATCAATGCTGAGCGAACACACCTGTGTCATCTTCTCCCTGTTGGCTTTGGGGTTGAGTGGAGCTTCAGTCAGAAGGACCGGATGCTCCTCAGGTGCAACACGAAGCTCGTTGTAGAAGGTGTGATGCCAGATCTGCAGGATGGGACAGATTGTTGTAAGCGGTTGCGTTAAAGACATGAGGACAAGTCCTCTGGCGGTGGAGTCTTTACTGATGAAGGAACAAAGTGCAATTTTGACGCCCATGTTGGACAGCCATCTTCACCTTCTCCATGTCGTCCCAGTTGGTGACGATGCCGTGCTCGATGGGGTACTTCAGGGTCAGGATGCCCCTCTTGCTCTGGGCTTCGTCTCCCACGTAGCTGTCCTTCTGTCCCATGCCCACCATCACACCCTGCACACAAACACACCTTCAGCACCACACCTCCCCCTGGAGTTACCTGGTGGGGGCTCTAATGGGCTTCATCGAAGGGTACCTGATGTCTGGGGCGACCCACGATGGAGGGGAAGACGGCTCGGGGGGCGTCGTCTCCGGCAAAACCGGCTTTGCACATGCCGGAGCCATTGTCAACAACCAGGGCAGCGATATCGTCTTCCATTTCTGAAGGGACACGTTGAGATTAGAACATGCTGGTTACTCCTCTACAATGACGCGTGAACCACTGTGGTATTTGTTAAGGGGATCAACCTGTACACGGTAAATACTGAAACCAGGAAAAATGACTCCGTAAAGATTTGGAGAACGAAGAGGAGACGTTAACAACGTGAAAGCAGAAAGTAAGACGATGTCATCATTTCCTGCCTGCTCACAGACTCCAAACACATCCGGTCACAAAACCAGAAATGCAACGACAGGAGCACAAACACTTTGAATATGTGCCTCGTGTAAAGGAGTAGATGTATTTCGTGAATACCACAATTAGCATTCTGTGTTTAGTGTACAGAAATATATAAGTTTTTCTACTTCTAAAGGAAGTAACAGTCTGACGGTCAGGTTCCTCCTGCAGCCATCACCCGGTTATCGGGCGTGGCGCCTCGAGTCCTCCAACCTGATCAACTCGTCCTCTACGTCCCATCATGTGAGGACATTCCAGACAAGTTGAGACAGCACAAGCCACTCCTGTCCACCTCCCTGCGACCCGCACCTACTGCCTAACTTCAAGCTGCGCCCTGCTGCCGGAGTCAGGAGGAACTACCGCATCCGGGTTGTTACTGCGCGTAACCAGGAATCCACATCTGATCAATGAGGAAGTGTCGCCCCCCCCCCCCCGACATTCTCATCTCCTCACCCAGTGAAACGGTCCCACCAACATGACAAAATGTCCAAAAAAGGTCTTTAAACCCCGCAGCGGCTTCGGGGGGATCTGGATGTTCATACATGTGTTCATGTCACATTCTGAAGCCGAGGCGCTTCCTGATGTTCTACCTCATTCTGCCAAAGTTCACGATGAACATGTGGAATTAAACAGGAATCCGCTGCGTAGAATCACAGCGGATTATTTCTCCTCATGTTAAAACACAGTCACACTAAGCGGATGTTGAAGAACGTTCTGCAGAACGAGTCAAAGTCCGACGTCGATGCGATCGGCTGTCACTCAAACCGCTGCTGATCAGCCTGATCGATTAACATTAAAGTTGTACGGCGGCGGCGGCGGCGGCGGGTCTTACCTGAGCAGGTGGGTGTCGCGTGGGTCTGTCCGTGGAGAGGAGCTCGTGTCTCTTTTCAATGCTCGTCAATCTTCCGGCCGGCGGCGCACCGGTGCGCGCGACCCGTCGCGTTGTCCATAAAAGGTAAGGTTCTCTCAGCGAGCGCTCTGATTGGTCCAGGTGAGGCGCGCGGACTCTCGTTTTTGACTTTTTTGCATTAGCAGTGTTTTAATGATGTGAGGAGGAGGAGCAGAGTGTCTGCTCAGTGTGAAGACTGAATATGGTGCCTATAATGCCATGCCCCTCCCCATATATATATATATATATATATATATATATATATATATATATATATAATTACAGTAATGCAGTAGCACTCAATAACTCGACAATATTTATCGTCATGTAACAAAGAACTGAACATATATCTGTGAATGCAAATATAAATATTGTTCTCTCAATAACTCAAATAAAGTGCTTTAATTCATGAAAATAAAATAAAGGGAAGAAAAGCTTAAATTTCTAGTTTTCTGTTTCACATTTGTACTCGACAGTCAATTCTAAATAACGAATGTAAACTGTATGAAAGTGTGCTTAGTGCTCCAGTGGAAGATGAACCGAAACGAGTCCGTTCTGGATTAAATACATTCCTGCGGTCTTTTCATCTGTAGTTTGCTCTCTTTCTCTTTGCTATGTCTCTGTTTTAAGACGCTACCGTGAAGACGACCACTAGAAGTGACCCGTCAGGTTTAAGTGACCTCTGCTGTCGACCCTTTCAGTTTGGAACATCCCGCGTTGGCCCTTTGGGTGAAGCAGATGTGTGAGCTGAAGGGGACGCTGGTCCCCACCTGGTGGAGCCTGTTTGACCGGCTGTTTCCTCCACTCAAATCTGCAGTTCACATTGACCACAGCGTTTCAGGTCACTGCGCACTCAAAGTAACACGTTAGACTTTGACGGTTAGTTGACATTTCAGTTTCGGATTGATCGGATTGATCAGATTGATCGGTTTGATCGGTTTGGGGCAACGTGAGCTTTCGCAACCGGACAATTAAGGTGGACGTCATGAGCGATGTGAATGAATGAGACCGGATGCTGTTTACGTGCACGTACAGGAACTACTTTTCTCTACTCTACTGAAATGAGACGCACAACGCTTGGTGGCTGATACTATTTTAACCGTGTTATGAAAGCAACAAGGTACTTCAGGCTGAACTTCAATAATCTTCAATAATACAACAACACCCCGGAACTGTCACATTATCGGATGGTAAAGTACAGCCGCTCGTCCCTTATGCTTAAATATGTCGCATTACATGTCGTTTATCTGACGCTTTTATCCAAAGCGACAATAAGAACATTTCAACCATAAGGACACAAACTCAGAAGAACAAGAAACAAGAAAGTGCAATTTCCTCAAATAAGCCGATGTACAACTTGCTATATGTAAGAACCATTATAAGTCCAATGTAAGTGGTACAGTTAGTTAGTGTGTTAGTGGAGGTAGAGTCTGAAGAGGTGTGTCTTTAGTCTGAAGATGTGAAGGCTCTCTGTGGTCCTGATGTCTTCAGAGACCTCCTTCCACCATTTAGGAGCAGGACAGCAAAGAGTGGAGATCTAGTCGAGTGTTTTGCTCTCAGTGAGGAGGAACAAGCAGTTTATCACATGCAGAGCGGAGTGAACTCCAGTAGTAAGACGACAAGGATCCGTCACAGATCCTCTCCAGGTCACCTGGTACGTGCGGCCATCAAGGTGGGACGAGAGGAGGGAGAGAGCAGAGCCTGAGACACCAAGATACTGTTTTCCCTTTGAGATCTGCATCAAGTAAATACATCACTGTGTTTAATGTGATGTGGCTTCACCGATGATGTGTAACAAGACCACAATAGTTTCATTAATGCTATAATAAGTAGTACGTAATCCGACAAAGACTGACAGTTAGAGGTCCTCAGTAGTGTTGGAATGGAACGAAATAGTAAGACTTAAAGGACATTATCTGTGTACAATAAACACAGAATGGAAATCAGGGTATCTCATTCTAATGCTGACATCATCCACAGACTGAACTCATAGTCCTTCCTGTTCATTTGGTAATTGTCCAGATGTCACATTCTCTCCGGCGAGTCCTTTCACTCCTTCTCAAGAATGTTGAATTCTGAACAGAATATAACTGAATAATTGGACATTAACAAGCAGTTATGTTTTTCCTGCTATAAGCAGTTTATGATATTTAATTAAAAACACTGTTTTGCAAATATTTAAAGGATAAAACATTTTTTTTTACTCCAAATTCATTCATATTATGTGACTTTGGAAAATATCCGCTGCAAAACCACAAGGTAAAAAGATTAGAACCGTTTACAGGTTAAATAGTTTTTGGGAGGGTTGAAATCATTCCATACAGCTGCTCCTGCAATGCTTTACCCCTTGAAAATAACAAACTGGTCCAAGGCCCTTAAAGTCAGGTGTCCTGACGCGGAGAGATTTTAGCTAGCTACCCAGTAAAACTATTAATGAAAAGAATTGTGTATTCAGGTGATTTAACGGTATTCAAGTAAGCATTAGCTCCTTACCTTTTGAACCTCATACTGTTTTAACTATGAAAGTAAAATTTTCTTAACCAGAGTTTGTAAAAGGACACTAACGAATTAGTTGTGCGCTGGTATTGCCCTGACCCGGGCAGACATCCCGCTTCAACACCTCCAAATAGCTCATTAAAAGCTCTTCCATCATCGCCCAACATTGTCTTACTACTTTCTCTTATCAAACCAACTGGAGTTCCTCAGGGTTCCGTCCTGGGTCCCCTCCTCTTCTCGCTCTACACCAACTCTCTCTGCGCTGTCATTCGCTCGCATGGCTTCTCCTACCACAGCGATGCTGATGACACCAACTAATTCTCTCCTTCCCTCACTCGGATCTCTGCCTGTCTGACTGACATTTCTCAGTGGATCCGCCCACCATCTGAAGATCAACCCGACAAGACTGAACTACTTCTCTTTCTGGGACAAGATTCTCCGACCCAGGACCTGACTGTTAACTTTGAGACTCCGTGTTAACGTCCACTCTGACTGCAGGAACCTCGGCGTGACGTCGACAGCCGACTCTCCCTGACTCCAACATCACTGACAACACGATCGGGTCCAGCTTACATCCAGGACCTGGTCCAACCCGACACCCCAACCCACACTCTCCGCTCTGCATGTGATAAACTGCTTGTCCTTCTCACTGAGAGCAAAACACTCCTCTAGATCTCCACTCTTTGCTGTCCTGCTCCTAAAGGGTGGAAGGAGGTCTCTGAAGACATCAGGACCACAGAGAGCCTTCACATCTTCAGACTAAAGACACACCTCTTCACACTCTACCTCCACTAACACACTAACTGCAGCACTTACATTGGACTTATAATGGTTCTTATCTACAGCAAGTTGTACATCGGCTTATTTGATGAAATTACACTTTCTTGTTTCTTGTTCTTCTGAGTTTGTTTCCTTATGGTTAAATGTTCTTATTGTAAGTCGCTTTGGATAAAAGCGTCAGATTAATGACATGTGATGTTTCCTGCTGCAGTTAGACATCTAAATCTTTATATATATATATATATATATATATATATATATATATATATATATATATATATATATATATATATATATTTATGAGATTTGACATGTAGATTTGTTGATATGTGTGAATTGCTAACGTTTTCAAGCAATCGTCGAAAAACGATACCGGAAACAGCGTTGAATTGCGTGTGTCCGGGTCAGGACACCGTTACGTTGAGTCTAAATCCCGAGAAGCTCCGTCTTCAGCATCACGTTGGGACGAGCAGCTTGTTAAAAGTCCGTGTTTACATATATTTATGTGTATGTGTACGTCTGGATGTTGTGAAGTACGTCCCCTTCATACTTGCATTGTAAAACCAACGCGTGCCACTCGATGGACGAGCAGCATCGAGTGTCTACGTTTGTTAGTTTATCATCTCACAGGATTCCAGGGACGAGTTCTGAGCCTCAGCAGCAGCTTTCCGTTCCTCCTCACAGTAAGTCGAAGGCTGATCCCTGAAGAGGACTAAATATCAAATACAAAAACTATTTTTCCACAATAAATACCAGTATTAAAATAGAACTGATGCATATTTGAATTCAGATAGCATAAAGGTATTAGATATTTACTAAAATGTATGAACAAATTAAATGTGTATATATTTAGACCGAAATTCAATTTATTTTGAGTAATAACTATTTTAAAGGATTTCGGTAGTTAGAATAAGTTAAAGGTGGAGCCTCAGCTTCATTAAGAAGTTCCATTTGTAATATGCAATGCTGCGCTAGTTTATCATAGTTCTGATTAGAGTTAGAGTTTTGTGTCTGATAAACATGGTTCTGATTACATCTCATTCGAATCTAACATCGGCACTAAAAGGACAAGTACGTATTGTGAATATGAACCCAGGAAGTGTCGAGCCGTCAGCAACCAAAGCACCAACTCCGTCATTGGCCACATTCTACACCTTTTGGTCACAAGCAGGAAGACAAACACTGCTCGGAGCGCAGGGCCATGTTAGAGAGCATCTCAGGAGCTTCACACCACCATCATCCAATAGGTCCTCAGACCTCCTGTACATGACAAAATACAGCAAACTTCAACAATGAGCTCCAAGAGAACCATAAGAGAAGGAGATGGACTTATGCCGAGGTAGAAGAACACTACACAGAACACACATTTACAATTTGTTAGGTGGATTAAAGTGGATTTTCTCTAGTTTGCCCTCATGACTGGAAATTGTTAAATACAGCGAGCAAGACGTTCTACACACCAGCCCAGTAACGCACAAAAATAACCAATAACGGTACGTAGAGAGGAAGTGACACCATAAAATGACAGCACCCAGATGAAGCTCTGAACGGCACGTTGTTTCTCACACCAGTTCTCCAGATGAAGTCATTTAGATGTGCATTTACCAGACATGGGGACACTCGTATCCTGCAGGGAGTCACTTCAGCTTGTTAAGAGACAGATGAACGGACACTTTGTGCTCCGATCTAAACGTGAAGATCTGTGAGCTTTAACTGCAGACCTTAGTTTAGAATAGAAGCATTTGTACCCTTTAATAAAACCGCTCTTATGAGCAAAACCATAACATTTAATCAAGTCAGAATCGTCGATCATCTAGACCGGCTGCTATGAGAGACTTATCTGATCATGTGGGGCATCAAGTCAACAAACTGGATCTAAAAGTTCATTTTTCCTCTTGAGCCAAAATGTACAAGTAAAAGTTGCTGGTTAAAAACCATGAGTATGCGGCTGGATGTAAAGAGTCTTAAAGAAAAGCTTAACTAAAAAAAACATTAAAGATGTAAACAGATGTTGTCAGCTGCATTTTATTTCTCAACATTTATACAGCTCAACTCTGACAGAAAAGGTTTAGAAGACAAAAGCACAATTTGTTGCCTTGTAGAGGTAGAAAGATGTTCTGTGATAATACTGTTGTATCACCAGAAGGTGAGTAGCTGAGAGCAGAGATGGAGGCGCATGTTCAGACACGTTAAACAGGAGCTTGACTCATCATCATCTGTGTGGCACCTCGTAGCGTTAAGTCTGTTCACACAAGATGAACCATCGTGAAGCAAGTCAACATCCCCGCTGGGGAACGGGAGCTTCTCTAGAAGCACTTGCGGTGGACGATGGAGGGGCCGGACTCGTCGTACTCCTGCTTGCTGATCCACATCTGCTGGAAGGTGGAGAGGGAGGCGAGGATGGAGCCGCCGATCCAGACGGAGTACTTCCTCTCTGGGGGAGCAACGATCTGGAGGACGGGAAAAAAAACAAGTGGGATCAGACAAGGCAGCCTTCATTTATTTGCACACACTATGTTTTTATTAAAGCAGCTATACCTTGATTTTCATGGTGGGCGGGGCCAGGGCGGTGATCTCCTTCTGCATCCGGTCGGCGATCCCGGGGTACATGGTGGTGCCACCGGACAGCACGGTGTTGGCGTACAGGTCCTTACGGATGTCCACGTCGCACTTCATGATGCTGTTGTAGGTCGTCTCGTGGAGGCCAACAGACTCCATTCCTGATCAAACAACCAGAGGTCACTTATCTTCTAAACACCAACGGCACAAGTCGAGACAATGTTCACCATTCAAACCCAAGTGGGACATTTGTCTGGTGTTGACGAGACCCTGAAAAAACATTATGGCTCAATGAGGCCAAATCATCCCCTGGTTCCCCAAGAGGTCAATAGATGAAGACCAGACTGTCCTATATTGTGCATTTTAAATCTCATTGTGGTAACCCAACAGTACAGTTCTCGTTAGTCGTCACCCACCAAGGAACGAGGGCTGGAACAGCGCCTCGGGGCAGCGGAACCGCTCGTTGCCGATGGTGATGACCTGTCCGTCAGGGAGCTCATAGCTCTTCTCCAGGGAGGAAGAGGAGGAGGCAGTCTGCATTTCCTGCGCAAAGTCCAGAGCCACGTAGCACAGCTTCTCCTTGATGTCTCGCACGATCTCACGCTCGGCTGGAATTAGTACAAGTAGTCAAATCAGAAAGTAGAAAAACCACCAGACGTTCACGAGCTTTAT